CCCCCCCCCCCCCCCCTGCACTCGCCGGGTTCGGGGCCATTTTTCGGTTTGAGCTCAAGACGTGCACAGCAGCGGTCTAGAATAGTGGCTGTGTGCAATAGCGGCTGTGCTGGAGCACCATACGCCAATAGAAATGCCATGACAACATACTATGACAGCAATACAACTGGCAGACCGTGCGGTAGCAGACCCATTGGATGTATTATGGCAAGTCGACAACTTGGAGGCTGGCACAGGGATGTCCCAGCATAATGCGTTCCATACAGCTGTAAAGGACCAGGAGGTAGTGGCATCTCTTTAATCCAAGCAAGGAAAAGTCAGGCTGACCGTGGGGGGTTGCGTTCAGTACATGGCGCTTCTGGTTGGCATCAGTCGAAGTCGAAGGCATGAGATCGGCATGCATAGCGCGCCTTGCCACAGGCAACCACATTCGCGACATGCTTTTCTGCACAATGCACACGATGACAAGGCCTGAAGTACTGCGAGCTGTGGAAGACTGGTTGATTTGTTCTGCTGATGCAGGCAGGTTTAATGACTTGATTGGTGGATGCGTGTGCGTAGTTTGTCCTGCACCTGCCCTCTGAGGGATGCGGAGCATTGTTTGTGCCGCTGCGTTTGGCAGATCAGGCCATGGCCGGGGAATATCTAGCGGAAGTGCCGAAGTTCGTGCAAAGGGCCCACGAGGCTCTAGCACAAGCCGCTGTGGAGAAGTGTCCGCAAAAAATCCTTGTGCGTCAGCGAGACTGGTGTGTGGGTGCACGTGCCTGCCATGCAAGGTGCATGTTGCAGCAGTGGCACAGGGAAACAGGGGACGCCTTCTTCGGACAGCGCGCCGAGCACTGTGCAGGCAGATGTGTGGCTTGGGACCGTGTCGTGGGTTGCCAAGGGGCTGATGTTGAGTGCTGGCACGGGCACTGGTTTACGAGTTCGCCAGAGGTTGATAGGAGGAGGTTGGGCTACCATGCCGCGCACTGCCCACTCCGCAACAGCCGAAACATAGACGAACCCTCACAGCGATTCACCTGTAATGCTCCGGTGTTTGCGCGTGGCCATGAGCGGCTAGCCAGCTTACAGGAGTCCCTGGCCAAAATCCTGGCTGCGTTGTCAAGCTCGCGGCCCACCCCAAGCGACCTCCTGCGGATGAGCCTTCGCGTCGAGAGCATAATCAATGTACTCACTCATGACGAGTTGGGTGTCGTTTGCGAGGGCTTTCACCATGTGAACCCGTGGGGGATAACCCCACGGTCATATGCGTGCCACAGGAAACATGCGGTCTGGCAGGTTGCAGAAGCGTTGCACAGCGCGTGTGCAGATCTACAGGACGCCTTCCAGCTGCTTTCTGCGGCACATGTGCTTGGAAACCTGTTCGTCAACAAGTCGTTTCACAAGGCATGCTCCTCTCGCACACTGGCGGCGGGGTGGGTGTTGATCCCATATGATCCACCAGTAGAAGCCGAACAAGAGCAGGAATCTCAGCCTGTGGTAATTCAGAGTCTCGGCTGGATTTGATCGGCACATTTTTGGTTTTTACTCTGGGAGTTTGTCAGTTGCAGTTTCTATGAGCCTCAAGATATTCTTTGTATGGCATGGCTACCTGGCTTCCTTGGCTCCATTTATCTTGCAGGGCTTGTGATCATGCAGAGCCTCCAGCGATTATTCATCCGATTGAAGCCTCCCAGCTGGCCAATGAGATGCAGGCAGAGGGTCCAAGAAAAAAACACCAAACAACAGCCACATCCTGTATAGCAGCTTTGATAAACAAAGCCAGCTCCTTTCGTAAACATTGGTTGTCATGGTCATTCGTACACGATACCTCTGCTCGCATGTTTTGTTCATGTCGACATTTGGCCTATTTGGAACCAGGCTGGCCTGATCGAGCGGTTGGTTGCAAGGGAGCCGGTGTCGGACCACCATGACCAGATCATCATTGGCCAAGCCTGCTGTCTGCAGACAGGTAGCGGGATCCTTACGCCAACACGCAAAAGCAGCCATAACTTAAGCCCGCAGCGGAAAGATTGAACAGCGTTCTGCCCTACTTGTCTTCCCTATAACAACAGACTGTGTCAGGTTTGGGTGGCCCCTAAACTTGAGCGTCTGCACTTTACCTCCACTCTACTTGGAGTTAGAAGCGTTCTGATAGACCATCGTGGTATGTAAACGTTCAGCATCGACCATTAATGTAATGTCTATCACAGACTTTTGCTTCGGTTCGGTTCGTCGTCGTCTGACATCACCCGGACGCCATACCGATCGAACCTGGGACCGAAGCCTGTCAGTCCGCACCAATTTATGGTTTAGGTTTTCGGGTTTCGGGTTTAGGGTTTAGGTTTTAGGTTTTAGGTTTTAGGGTTTAGGGTTTAGATTTTTAGGGTTTAGGGTTGGAGGGCTTAGGCTTGCAGAGTTCGGGGTTTTGAACCTTTTGGAGGCT